AAGATAAAAGAAGATAAAACTTTATTCATCCCACAACAGGCAGCAAAGACAAGGATAGCCAAAAAAGAGCACATAGTGGACAATTCAATAAAAAATTCAAATAGATTTAAAAAGTTGAGCTAAAAGAGTGTGATTTGTGTTCACATATGTATGAACAAACCGGGCTATGGTTTCAGAACAACTTTTCCAAACTACCCAGGTGTGAAAAAACCCTTAGAGAGAAAACGGAGTTGCAGTATCACCTTCCAAAAAACTCTTGTGCTTCGTATTATATCTGGGTTAAGTTCAGCTAGTTTAATAACCCTGATAAAGCCTGTTAGATGTTGTATACAGTATATGTCCACAGAAAATTGGCTGACTTTAAGTCACTCGTAAATTCTGAGGAACTTTAGGAACTCTGACTTTTAAAGTGTTTCTTACATACACACGTTTTGAGATCTACTCTGCAAATGTTGGTTGTGCTATTTGTGTAGTTCCCTGTCTTCTTGCAATATTTACACACAGTTTTTTTGTCTGTTATCTTCTCACATCTTTAATTTTCTGTCTTGGGGAAGCTAAAATGCTTCCACACCTCTGATTTAAAAGAGGGATGGTGCGTCCTCAATTTGAAAAATCTTGCTCTACAGCTGCTGACGCTCACGATATTATTGCGATTCATTTTTCAGAGTACCGATGTGAATCTTGACACCTTTGAATCAATTTATCACGATTTCACAATTAATCTCTCTATCCCTAACTGTAAATATTACAGGAACAGAGGACGCTTGAAAAAGAGATGAAGAAGAAATACAAACTGAACCTGAAGATGTGAAAAACATTCAGGAGATGATTGCTAGAAAAGGCAAGTTCGGAAAAAGAATACACATTCTGTACGGACATTACTAAATGGAAATGTTGTTAATATGTAAAAGCAATAAAGAAAGTTAAAAAAAAGAAAGAAAAGGCAAGTTCACACCATCTGTGCATAAATAGGTCTGTGTCCTCAACAGCAATGTCACTAATGTCACTATTTTGTAACATCTCCTCAGTATAAAGGCGGACAAGAAGAGTCCTTTTTTTTTTAATCGTTAAAAAAAAAGTTTTCATCTGCCTAGAACTCCATTTGAAATTGAACCTGCTGTTTATTTTGTCATGCTTTTGCTTGTACACAGTTTATTGTGTTCATATTTTAGCTTTATCTCTGTTTTGTGGAATGGTCCTACATATTTTTTCTATGCAGTGTAAATTCATTGACAACAACATACGTGTCAATAAAACTGGTCCTGATTCGCTTTGTGTCGTCATCCCTGCAGTGGCGTCAAGGGCGCCCAAAAGAAAAGTCCTTCCTCTATGAAATTGTGTCCACAAAAAAACGCGTTGATGTGGACAAGTTTGACTACTTGGCCAGGTCAGGTTTTAATGAAGTGCTGTAGAGCAATTCATTTTGTGATGAAGACCACTACAGCACTTCTTTTTTTTTTACCTTGAACAATGCATTATTCTCCTGATTATTTTAAATTATAGGCTACAAAACTCTCCAGTAAATTCAGTTTCACTTTATACACCTATTTTCTTCACCTTGCCTCAATCTGCCTCTACTCAGGGACTCTTCCTACCTGGGGATCAAGAACAACTTTGACTTTCGCGTCCTGCAGTTTGCCAGAGTGTGTGAGGTTGATGGCAGGAAAACTATCTGCACCAGAGACAAGGTGCTGACACACTTGAGCTTGTAAACAGATAATTGAAAGCAAACTGATAATGTTGTTATTTATGACTAAACTGCAGTCCTAACCTCAACAGGAGGAAGACCATATGTACGACTTTTCTATACAAGACACCATCTCCACAAAAGAGCCTGTCAGCACAGAGTAAGCCACATCATACAAGAAATGTAAGTGTCTACCTTCAGAAGTTATTACTCCAAATATAAGATTGGTCTCCTTCTGATTTCCATTATTCAATCTGCATCATGATTCACTATCTCATCAGTAATAATATATTTGATATGAACATACAGGATTGCAGAGGCTTTTTTGAAAGCAGACGGTCACATTCAGATTGAAGGATCAGGAGAGAGGAGATGTTCACTCTCTCTACAGCCAATGAGGACATGGAGGCCTACACAAAGCTCACAGGTGTGTAGATTTAAATGTGTGCTGTTAGCTCATGTTCAACATTGAAGCCAATTCAGACTACAGGAGTATCAAGACATGGCTCTGTTGCTAGGTCATTTACAGTTATGCTACTTTATCCATTTTTTTTATCGCATTTGTTAAAGATAAATAAACCACATCCTGTTAATTTAGTTGTGATGACTTATAAATTAACATGCCATGACTTATTGAGTGTGTTTAAATTAAATTCAAATTTACTTGTGTGTGTTATTATCATTTGTTTGCTTGTTACTCTGTTACTCTTTAGACAAGTGTTTGAGGAAATACTGAAGTCTTCCTGCTCAGAGCTAAAAAAGGCAAGAGAGATTCTGCAAAACATCATCTCTCGAAAGAGCTACAAGTTTGTTGATGAGAGAAAGCCAAAGGACCCCATCGAGGATTGGAAAGTAAGTCTGTGTTCTTGTGTTTCATTACATTTATTACATATGATCTAATGCACTGTTATCACAAAGCTGGATAATGTGCTCATTTTCAGTTCATAGAATAAGTACACATCACATTATTTACTGTCTCCAGCATTTTATCTTGCCCGTGTTGTTATTACATTTAACATGAACAGCAAAAACTATTGAACAGTTCTCTTTTTGAAATGGATAGCAGCTTGAAATGTCTTACAATACAAAATCCCTCTGTCAACTAATGCTGCATGATATTGGGGAAACTGCAATAACCTTTGAGGTTCATACAATTATAATTTGTATTATCATTTGGGCCTTCAATTCTATTTTCTTTTTCAAATAAAAACCCCTTATATGTTCAAAGTGACTTTTAATTTGCATCAAGAGCCCTGTGACAGTAAAGAACAGTTCATCGTCACACACTGCATGTGATCCCTTCAACTCTACATCTTATGTGCACATAGACTCTGCCTGCACAGAAGTCACTTCTCTTTGTGATCAGGAAGAGGATCAGACAGACTGATATTGTAGATCAGTCATGGAAAGAGAGAAACTGAAGGCTTTTTGTTTTTTCAAAAGCAGAAACAACAAAAAATGGCATGAAATGATACATTTCAGGACATATGATTGATATTATATATTCTGTAATGTTATCATAGCACTTGTACACATAGCAAAAATGATGCTTAAATCATACCATGCAGCCCTACAGTCAAAAATATCTACACTAAGTCGGTGCAGTTTTTTGAGTGAATGTGAATTGAATTCCAAGTTTCTTACATTGTCAACTTTAAATGCAAAAAAACTTGAATCTATATCTTTTTCCACTGTTGTAATTTTTTTCTGATTCCTTGTCAAGAGCCGGATTACTGGCTGGAAAAAATTATTGGCTCAACCCCTCCCTGACGAGGAAGAAAACAACCTGAAACCAGAGGACTTTGAAATCCTGGTCAGTTTTTTGACTTTCTTTCATTTCACCTTTTTGTAAATTCTTCAGTTTTGCGGATTTTTTGATTTGTAAGATGTTGCAAAATCTGTTATTACACACATACTTTTACTCTCAACCTTCATTTTAGGTCATTGAAATGGACTATGGCATGGACGACAAGGACCCTATCCAACATGTTCATTTCTACAGCAAATCTGAGCTTGACGTGGCAAAGCCAATGCCCGAAGAAAAGGTAAGAACTAAATATTGATTAAAACATTTTTTTATCGCAATATTTCTTCTGTTTATTGGGTTAAATTATTTGTAAGGCAGCTTATGTCACCAAAACTCTCAAAGTAAAGCTGCTGTCCTTCTTTACAGGGATCCAGGATTCGCACAACGTGCTTTTCTGAGCAGCTGATCAGGGTCTTCTGTAACAAGATTGATGACAAGAGTGTGGAGGCTGCCAAAAAGCACTTTAAACAGTGGTACTATGATTTTCTAATCCTTTGATAATAGTTGAATCTTAAGATGTTAAAGGATACAATACATATCAACTAATTTGCTGTTGATTGAACATAAAACATCAAATATAAATTCAGACCAGTTGACTTGGCTAAAGTAAATAGAAAACAGTCAACAGTTGTTTTGGATTTTGAAAATTTCAAAAAAATCAGAGAATCGAAAAAAAGACCAAGTACTTTGAGTTTTCTGTTGTGTCACTACACTGATTTACACAAGTCTTATCCCCAGTACAGTTTATTTAACATGGTTGAACATGTGATCTACAGTCTCAAACAGACTTTTTTTGATGGGTGTGTATGTGGCTTCCAGTGTTTCTCAGCCAGCTTCAGGTGGGGTCTCCCCAAGAAAATGTTAAGCACCAAACATTTCTTTTCCTGCATTCTCATCCTGATTTTGTCTCGTTTAAAAAAATGGAATAAAGATGTGCGCACGAGCGAGAGAGAGAGAGAGAGAGAGAGAGAGAGTAAAACCAGATATGCCTTGCTGATGGAAATGATTGATGGACCTCAGCCCCTTGTTTTGTCTCGCAGAATTTATGAAACCTTGCAACAGTTTGCTAGTCCGTAGCCACGCTTTACAAGTCCATTGTACTGACTAGCAGACAGAATTTTTTTTTTTTTTAACTGAGCCTTCATGGGCTCTGTGCAACACAACAAAACTCCCTCTTTAAAAAGTTGATCTAGCATCTCAGTTATTACAACAGGTGAGCATGATGTGAAGGCCTGTTATCAAGATTCAGCAAAACCAAGAGAGAGCATCATCACATCGGCAGCAAGCAGCTTCACAAACATAATAAAACTAAGTCATGAGAAGCTTCAGTTTTGACATGTCAGGAGGGCTGGACCTCAGGTGCATTAACAGGAGGGAGGAACAAACAGCAGCCCTCTTTTTGTCTCTCTCTCTCTCGTGCGGACGGCAATTTTATGAATAATTAAAACATATAGTTTTAAAATATAGGCTACTTGGGCAGCTATACATGTACCTGGGCAGCCGAGTATTGTCTGTGTGGGAAATACTGACGCGAGTGCAGCGTAAGTGCAGTTTGTGAAGGAAAAAGGAGCAAGAGAATCGGCATCACGCAGACATGACATCGCAACTATGTGAGAATCGAGACTGGGATTCTTTCTGACCTGAGGGATCTTTTTTGTTTTGTTGTGCTTCAGTTTGCACATGTCTTGGCTCCAAAAGAAGTCACCAGCACAAAATGTTGGTCGGTATTTTGTCTTTGCTCTTTATACAACAGACCAAAACTCATTGTCCATATTAATATATGCAGTTTGTGGTTTTATGACATTGAAAGGCTGTTTTAATATATGAGCATTAGAATGGAGCAATGAGCAGGGAGGGAATGATTGCATTGAACTTCAGGACACTGTTGCCTTTTCTTTGCTTTTATATGATTTTGATCCTTTTTTGATGCCAAATTAATGTTGGAGTCTTCAAACTTTTGTATTTTAGTACCAAAAGACAAAAACTTTGAAAATATTTTTTTTTTACTTAAGATTTAAAAAAACTGAAAGTTCTCACCAGTGAGATGATGGATCTGCATGATGAGTGCATTGTTTTGCTTTAAAATAACTTGAATGAGAGATCGTTTGTTAAATAGAATCATTTCTGCCTCAATTTATCTCTCACTAGGTTTACTCTGCACTGCTTTCTTTAAAACAGATGTACTTGTGTGTCCTTATTAACATGCAGGCTGGAGAAGAATCCATATCTGGATGGATCTGAGGGTAATTAGAGCGATCTTCCTGCAGTTGACACCAAGGAACTTACCAAACAACATGAATAACACTGAATTATTATTGTTTATCGTTTGCTTGTCACTCTCTTACTCTTAGAGGCAAGAAAGATTCTGCAAAAAATTGTCTCTGGAGAGATCTACAAGTTTGTTGGTGAGAGAAAGCCAGAGGAGACCATCAAGGATTGGAAAGTAAGTCTGTGTGTTCTTGTGTTTCATTACATTTATTACACATGATCTAATGCACTGTTATCACAAAGCTGGATAATGTGCTCATTTTCAGTTAATAGAATAAGTACACATCACATTATTTACTGTCTCCAGCATTTTATCTTGCCCGTAATATTACATTTAACATGAACAGCAGCACTATTGAACAGTTCTCTTATTGAAATGTAATGTGAATTGGATAGCAGCTTGAAATGTCTTATAATACAAAATCCCAGTCAACTAATGCTGCATGATATTGGGAAACTGCGTTTTCTTTTTATGTTCATACTATTACAATTTTATTATTATCTGGGTCTTCAAGTTTATTTTCTTTTACAAATAAGAACCCCTTATACATTCAAAGCTACATTTAATTTGCATCAAGAGCCCTGTGACATTAACTTCTAAGCAAAGAACAGTTCATCTTCATACACTGCATGTGATCCCTTCACTCTCTCTCCCTCTACACTTTATGTGCTTATAGACTAACACACGTCCTGGGATATTACCATGGCACTTGTACACATAGCAAAATGAATGCTTAGATCATACCATGCAGCCCTACAGTCAAACGCATTTACACTAAGTTGGTGCAGTTTTTTGAGTGAATAAGAATGAATTCCAAGTTTCTTACATTGTCAACTTAAAATGCAAAAAATCTTGAATCTATATCCTTTTCCACTGTTGTAATTTTTTTCTGATTCCTTGTCAAGAGCCAGATTTCTGGCTGGAAAGAAGGATTGGCTCAACCCCTCCCTGACGAGGAAGAAAACAACCTGAAACCAGAGGACTTTGAAATCCTGGTGAGTTTTCTTTTACTTTCTTTCATCTGACCTTTTTTTGTAAAATCTTCAGTTTTGCTGATTCTTTGATTTGTAAGATGTTGCAGAGTTTGTTATGGCACACATTTTACTCTCGACCTTCTTTTTAGGTCATTAACAAGGACTACGGCATGAAAGACGAGAACAGGAAAAATGTCAGAACTAACTATTGATTAAAACAATTTTTTTATCACAATCATTCAATAGTTCTTCTGTCTGTTATTTGTAAGGAGGTTTATGTCTCCATAACTCTCAAAGTAAAGCTGCTGTCATTCTTTACAGGAATCCAGGATTCGCACATTGATCTTTTCTGAGCAGCTGATCAGGGTCTTCTGTAAGGAGATTGATGACGAGAGTGTGGAGGCTGCCAAAAAGCACTTTAAACAGTGGTACAATGATTTTCCAATCCTTAGATAATAGTTGAATCTTAAGATGTTAAAGGATACAATACATATCAACTAACTTGCTGTTGATTGAACATAAAACCAGTTGACTTGGCTAAAGTAAATAGAAAACAGTCCACATTGAGTACAGTTTATTTAATATGGTTGAACATGTGATCTACAATCTGCTGAGTGTGAAAACATTAGCTGTGCTAGCATCCTCAGCCTTCGGTCTTCCTTTCAGGTTAACGTATGCTTACCTGTGCTGGTGAAGCTCTACTCTAATAGATTTGATACTTTAACTTAACAAAATACTGCCAAGCTGGCAACACTCCAACATGTTATTGGTCCTTTGTCCTGGTTTGCATCCAGGTTAGACAGCAAGTCTAGACAGTCAGTCAGGTTTCTGTACTGAAACAATTTTACTGACCTGTATTGGAACCGTGCAGGACTCTGGTTTGGGGCCCTCAGGTTAAGAGAGGTAAGCAACACCAGCATGGGAGTGAAACCAAAAGATTAACCAACCCTCTGGTTTCTTCAAACTTTCACTCAGGAGCAAAAATCAGCTTTTAAATTTGAAAATTTGAAAGTAATAATGATTGATAATTATTGTGATAATTATATCGACTGATATGACATTTTGATAACATTTTTAGTTTTTTTAGCCTAGGCCTATAAGCTACGGGTCTTATTGTGAATAACGCGTATCCTTCATGAAAAGAAAAATGGACATGTTAAAAAAAAAATCCCTCTTCATACAATGTGTGCTGATTGAGACATGAGATAATCAGACCAATTTAGTTTTTTTAATCGAGCTGTAAACATGTTTATTTCTGCTGTAAAAATGGACTTTTCTGAATGGGTGTGTATGTGACATATTAATATATGCAGTTAGTGGTTTTATTACATTGAAAGGCTGTTTTAATATATGAGCATTAGAATGGAACAATGAGCAGGGAGGGAATGATTGCATAGTGAAACAAAACTTCAGGATTCTTCTTTTGCATTTATATGATTTTGATCCTTTTTTGATGCCAAATTAGCATTGGTGTCTTCAAACTTTTGTATTTTCCTACCAACGGACAAAAACTTTGAAATAATGTATTTTATTACTTGAGATTTAAAAAATCTGAAAGTTCTCACCAGTGAGATCATGGATCTGCATGATGAGTGCATTGTTTTGCTTTAAAATAAATTGAATGAGAGATCGTTTGTCAAATAGAATCATTTCTGCCTCAGTTTATCTCTCACTAGGTTTACTCTGCACTGCTTTCTTTAAAACAGATGTACTTTTGTGTCCTTATTAACATGCAGGCTAGAGAAGAAGCCAAATCTGGTTGGACCTGAGGGTAATTAGAGCGATCCTCCTGAAGTTGACACCAAGGAACTTACCAAACAACATAAATAACACTGAATAATATTTGCATTCAGACCTAGCACTCATGTTTTTCTCGCTTTTATCATATACATGCTGTATCATTCTTTTAAATTGATTGTTTAAAAATCAGTTCCAACAACACACAACATGTTTTTATTCTGAGGACAAAGATAAATCATAATATATGATACCACTCTGTACAATTACGGGGCCTGCAGTCAATATGAAACAGTATCATTGGCCCATTTAATTCACTGTGTTACGCTTCTATCGACTCACACAGAAAACCCATTCAAAATTTGATACAGAAAAAATTGGATACTTTTTTTTAACATTAAGGAAAATATATATTAGTTATAAAGCCATATCTCAAAGATCACTGGATCTGGATCGCTTCTGGATTTGAATTTCTGATCTCTAAACTGATACATAGACACACATGACACTGGATACTTACACAGCTAGCAGCTGTATGGCTGTTGAATACCATTTAGGTAAAGAAAGCCATTATTGAAATCCAACAATCATTGTCTCAAACTGAATATATAAACTGCATGTTTCTGAATTGATTCAGCTTTTGGTCACATTTATGCTTCTTTGTAGGTTGTGAATTATTTTTGGTCGGGGAAAGATGTAAAGCACTCCCAACATGTGTAATGGAGTGAATATTTCACTTGTGGTTTTATTTAGGGATTTATAATACTCAGTGGTGTTTTAGTTTTGATGTTAATCGTTTGAAGATTGAGGAAATGAGATTAGATTATTTGTCTTTGAGTGGTGTTTAATGAGAGATGATCATGAGTGATGTTTTGGTGACTGGTATTATCTTATATTATATTACTTTGTATCTGCAGCATTTATTATCACAATACAATTTTAACCTGTTTTAAAATGAGTCTTATTTTGGGCATGTTTTATAATGTGCTCTTCTTTTGAGTTTATGATTCTTACTTTAAAAACTGGAACTTGTGAAAACCTTTATTTGCATCTAAAAACTTGAAATTCGAATTAAACAATACATTTTTAAACGTATCCATCAACTACCTTTCTTGGATGGATGATGAATGTGTTTAAATGTATGACAGACTTTAAGTGAAGCTATAATTGTTTGACGATTGGTTCTTACATAATGCATCTATGAGAACCTTTCAAGTGTATTCCTGTTGTGATGGGTTCATATCTGATAAAATCTGCATGTATTCAAAATAAACATCAGAGAAAATCCTGAGTTCAACATTGTGTAATCTATCAAACCATATGCATCTATATATATATGTATATATATACTGTATATATCACCTGTGGTACAAATCTAATTGCAGTTCAAAGTCCTTTACAAAGGAGCGGAAAAATGACTGACAAAAGGTAGTTTGTAAAATATAACAGCAATAAGAAATGAAATCAGCACAATGATTGATAAATATAAATACTAAAAACCTAAAATCAAACACTAAAATGTAAATTTAAAAGTAGAGATGAATAATATTGATTAAAATATAGTAAATTAAAAGCCTTAAAATGATTAAGTCATATAGAAAAGCCAGACTGAATAAATGAGTTTTTTAAATTGTTTTTAAAAATCTCAATATTCTCTGATCCTCTGAAGTCTGTTCCAAAGTCTCAGAGCAGCTAAACGCAGAATCACAAAAGGTTTTTGTTCTGCTCTGTGGAACAACTAAAAGAAGAACCATAGAAGAACAAGAAGACCTGAGGGGACGTCCTGGTTCATAAACTAAAATCAACTCTGAAAAGTTAATCTGGTGGGAGGCCAAGTGCTTTAGACAATAATAAAATCAATATGAAGACAAAGAGGCAGCCAGTGTCAAGACTTTCAACGATAGATAAAATAGTTTAATGGGAGTTGTGTGTGTAATTGGCAAAGTCCTTAACATTCATTCATTCAATCAAATTCATTTAATCTGTTCTTTAGATGTATGTTTACTGCCCTCACATGCTTCACAGGTTGAGTTAATGTCGACATTGCCTATTTAAACACATCATGTTAAGTTTATTTGTAGGACACAGTAATCATCAACTTACATCATTTGCTCATTTGCATCAACAGAAACAGTGTGTGGAGTTTGGATCACATGCTTTCTATCTGACTTAAGCAGAGTTCAGTTGAGATTATGGAATGTTATGAGAAAAAAATAGGCTAATTAATGAATAAAAAACAAATAAAATGAAAAAAATGTAGCATCATTTATGGAGGTTCACATTGGTAACTCCTCATGCACAGAAAAAAATAGATGGCTAAATCTAGATCCAATGTGTTACACTGACCTGCTAAAGAGAACAACAGAAACCTTGATGTGAGTGTAAAATGGACTTTTCACCTTACTTCATTCTTATTTTGTTGATATATTATGAATTATTTCCAATACAACACATGTATTAATGATAGTTTAAAAAACAATTTTAAAAACTTAATTGAAATTATTCTGATTGGATTGACAATATTTATCAAGATCTGTAATATTTCCTATTTGTCATCAGCTAAAATCATTCACAACATCTACAAAGAGGATCAACTTTTGAAACAGCATCAGATCCTGTGTACAAACATGTGAACTCAGAGTTTGCGTTCCTTTGTCCTTACGTTAGGTTCATTTGCTTTATGTTGATTTGTGGGTTTTTTTGACTACTGATTTGTGATTTTGTGAATATGGCAAAATAAGTAGCCTAAAAAAGTACCAGATATTACAGTTTTAGTACATCATCACTTTGACTTCATCAAATCAATAGTTATACTAACATGAGCTGACATTTGTCATTTAAGTTTGATCTGTGTTGCTGCACGGAGAATCAGTTTGACTTTGACATCCTTCTTTCAGTTTAAAACAAAACTAAAGCCTCAGCAGAAATTAGATGATAAAAAAATGATATTTATAAGCCCTATAAAGATACCTGACCTGGGAATAAAGTCATATCTTTGTGATGAAATTAAGAAAACCAACTCTTTATGGAAGTAAGATAACAAAGTGAGATATGTTAACATAGATATTATCTTCAAACAACTTTCTATGTCTGCAATCAGAAGTAATCTCACAAGAAAAGGTAGGAGATGACTCTTGGCATTGATAGACACACATCTGTAATGTGCTCATTCTGGATGTTACTGGAGGTCATATATTATAGTCTCATCTTTTATTTTTGGATAGAAGACAAATTCATACCAAAAAACATCCACTAAATATAAAACTACTGCAGATGTTCACCTCCTTTACATGCTGGACCTTTTCATCATCATAGAATAAAATAATATTTTACAGTCTGAGGGTTTCTTATGTTTCCTTTCAGTGTACAAAAAAAAAGATCAGTACCTGTTTAAACTTTCTCCAGCAGAGCATTCATTTCATCAAATGGTGAGAGCACACCAAACCATGGAGAGTTGAGCAACACTGCCATCTTGTGGCCATTTGATTTATTTGCAGTTCTCACATAGAGTATAGGTGTAAATCTATCTACAGAGCAGTAACACATGCAACATTTTTCAGACTACCTCTTGTTGCTCCTTAAAGGCTTCATATGCATTTTTTTGATCCAGAAGATGTCGCCCTTGATCACCAGCATGAAACCAAAACAACTTGTGCTGCATTGTTGTGTTAGCATGCTAATGCTAGCAATCTTTATCATGCTCATATCTTCACACTGCATGTAAATTTACCTGAAATGACCGTGATCTAGAAACGCTTACGTGACATTCAATTAAGCAGTGAGTACAGAATGTTATTCTCTTTTCTCTAGTCCCTCAATTAAACAACTTTTATACGCGAGGGATGAGCTGGCCGGCCGTCCGGCGATGTAAACAAACTGAAGATAGGACTTGGAAAACTCGGAAAGCATCACAGACAGTGGGACTCCGGTGTTACACCCATTGTAGACAGTCATGACTCACAGAGTTATTTTCAGAGGATATCCTTGATTTCTATTGCATTTAAGTGTGAAAAATTGCATATTAAGCCTTTAATAAGCTGGTTTACAACTACTGTTGGCTAACAAACACAGGTTTAGTCAATAAGAAGTGATGACACTCTGAACATGCATGTACTTTTAATCTCTTTAGTTGGTTTCACATTTATTTTGTGGGGATTGTAAAAAATCTGCTATTTTAAAAGTGTTTCATGCAGGATTATTGATGTTTCATATAGTTTATAGTTTTTTTCTTTGGTATTCTCAAGTTGAGTGATGGATTCAGGTTGGATTACAAACAAAATGTTCTTAAAATTTGTATAACATTTTTCCAACTTTTAAAAAAATTTCTCACTTGAATTGCTAAATCATACAGTGACTAACAGATGAAGTAGAAATGAAGTTATTATAAAAATAGAACGATTGCATGTGCATTAAATTATCTACAACATGAAATATTTAATAAAAGCAACTATGAGGAAATTCCAATTTCTGTCAGAAATTTAAAATTCAGATTGCATTCATGGATTTATATTTTAGGTGTGCACTGTAGGTGTACACAAGAAAAGTGTACTCCTATGCACTTGAATGTGTGTGCTAATGTGGGCTCCATGCATAGCTTGTATGCATGCATGCATATCAGCTCACTCGGATTTTCTGCAGATAAAGTACTAGGGGTCTGGCCGGATTAACTCCAGGTAAAGTCCGGGCGAAAAATGCGGCTGTTTGCGTTCACACACTAAAGAACCTCCGGGTAGCCAAATCTCCGGAGTTTTTGAGGAGATTTCCGTATGTGTGAAAAGGGTTATAGAGTCTGTTTTCTGCCAGGAATTTCCAAGATCAATTCTGAAAGAAATTTCGGAATCAGTTGAGGAAATGGCCTTATGTGTTGAAGTAAATATGTCTGTAAATGTTTATTACTATATTCTACTGCTATACTGTATATTTTGGAGAAACTGTATCGATCGAATTTTCCTCTGGGATAATAAAGTATTTCTGATTCTAAACTAGAGGACCTTAGTGGGAATGGCCTGCAGTGCTGTGCATTCTGGGATTTGGTGTCTTTCATCAACATGAGCCAGAAAGACACTTTCTGCCTTTTCACGACCAAGAAGACACCAATTTCAAAATGTATTTTACATTTCTACTACATATATGACCCAATGTCAATACAGATTCATGTTTCAACGGGTGAAGTATCCCTTTAAGAGAAAAATAAAACTTTTATTAATGTTTGAGGCACCGTAGAGTCCTATCGTTTCAGACTTTCAGCAGGTAAGGAGTCACAATAAAACTTTTCTTAAAGATGTTTTTGGGCCTTTTTGCCTTTATTAGATAGTTCAGCTGAAGAGAGACCGGAAATGTTAAAAGGAAAAAAAGAATAGGTATTGTATTGAAATTGGACATTTAAAGTGAAGTCAATTAAGACTGAAATCACATCTCCTCTTCAACAAACCAGACGATTTAATTTTGTGTGTACAAATGTCATTTCAGTCAGCACCACTTTGTCAAAAGAATACTTTGACGAAATTATTTATATTTGGCAGTATGTCTCTGTGAGGGATCTCCCTGCCCTTCCACGCGCTTACATGGAAAGCATTAGGCAGGAACAGCACACATTCCTCCCTGCTTGCATACAAGCTATAAGGCAGGGAGATAAGCAGCAAACCCCCCAGAGCAAGCATCAATGACAAGCATGACACTGATTAAGTCACAATAGCAGAAAAGGGAGGAGGTGGGGAGGAGGAGGGTTGCAAATGCACTTGCAAATGCTGCTTGCAGAGGGAGCAGCAAAAGGAGGCAGGCTAGAGCAGTTTAAATAAGGCGGCATATGTACTATTTGGCCGATAGGATGCTTCGAAGCAAATCAGCTGGCCATCAGCTGATGCGACTTGCGTGAGATCAGCTGTTACTGAAACTCTGGCATGATAACAGATCGTGACTCTGTGGCCTGCCTGAACTAACGCTACGCTCCATTTCTGGGAGAGAGGGTCAATATTTTCAGTATTTATCCTTTATCAAGACTCTAAATGTTTCTTCAAAAGTAACTTCTAATACTGATTTATTTCTTAAATCCTGTCATTCTAAACTTTTATCTTAAGTATAATAATATTGTGTTGCAGATCACAGCAGGGGTTTTATGCCAACATGAGTAGAGAATTAACAAAGTGTTAATAGTAATTTGCCTATGTAACTATGTTTGATTAAAGAGTGGAAGGTACCACACATCTATTTGCATTTTCTATTCCAGATTTTCTCAAGATCTGTTTCAATTTGAGCTTTCAGATAAAAGAGTTCAGATAAATATCATATCATGAAACA